TTTCTTCTTTAGGATATAGAATATTACGAGGAATTAAAAAATATGGTTTTACAATATGATATTGTGATAGACAAGCTGATAATAATGGTAACATGTTTTAAATTATATTATCTGCTCCTAAGTAAAAGAAACAATGTAAAATATTTTGCGTGTTGATAGGATGTACAATTAACGGCGAGAAACGACGATCAATACTTTGTATTTGAAGATGTTTTGTATAAGACAATGTTGTGCTTTTCGAGAGATTCGGAAATACTTGCCCCAGTCACAACTGACAGAAGTGCCGGGAGTCAAGTGATCCACGCGGTTTTGCAAGGCAAACCAGCGACACTGGAAAATACTTTGGTTTTTCCACCAAGTGGTGTTATTCCGTTCCATGGATTTACAATGTATGGTAAGGAATTGCAAAAGATCTGATTTAATTACTTAATTCTCTTCTTATATTTTAGACTATCTTAAGTATGTACAATCGTAAACCATTTACAGAATTGTACGTAACATTTCGTGACAAGATTCTCAAAATGATTTCTGATACTAGCCCTGATATTTTTTTTCTAATCAATTTTTTTCTAATTGTCAATATTTCCACATTAGCTACGCCATTTTGTTATTTATATGATGATCCCTGCGCTATGTATTATACTTTCCGTGCATTCTACTTGAGATACTGGTTCCGTTTGCACACTGTATCAAGTCACGAACAAGGTATAGTTGCTCTCTGCTTACTTTTTGAACGATTACTGCAATGCCATGAACCGCAGTTGTGGGCTCATTTCAAAAATATACATATTCAACCGTAAGTTTATCTCTTTATAGCTGCCTGTAGCGTTATTTGCGTAATCCATTAATTTAACGTGTATGCATTTCTAGCATAAAAATAGTCTTCAAATGGCTTATGAGAGGCTTCAGTGGTCATTTACCGCCTGAACAACTGTTGTATCTTTGGGATTTAATTCTTGGTTATGATTCTTTGGAAATTATTCCACTATTGGCAGTGACAATATTGAGTTTTCGAAAAGAAAATTTACTGCAAGTTAATACCCAACAGAATGTAGAGGTATGGAAACGATATCATTATATGAATTCCTGCTAAACACAAAATAATAATATTACATTAATTACAATTCTCCACTCAATAATATAAATTTAATATAACGTGCACGTTGTACATAACAGATAGTTATATTATTGAGTAGGAAATTAATATTAATGTAATGTTGTTTCTTTAAGTTTAGTGAATTATAAATAGTTGTGTGTGTGCGCGCGCGCGCGTATGCAGTACTATCTATATGTACATTGTCTTATTTTCAGGCTGTGTTAGCAGACTTATCTTCACTAAAAGTAATGCCTTTGCTGCAGTTGGCTCTTCTAAAAGAATAATTTCACTTTTGCATATAAATTTATAATTATAAAATTTGTAAACTTCTTTTTAGATTTGTATCATTTGTCTAATTTTCATCATATCCTAGCTAACGCTAAATACATTCAAAGTTCGATTCGTATTTTCAGTGTGCCGAATGTTTCAGCACAGTGAAAGATTCGTTACAGAATATATAAATGTCACAGAATATGAAATGTTGGAATATTGTGTGAATACTCCTTGTAAGTGTATCACGAAAATTGCGAGCAGTACATATCTCCGCCGACAGAGAGCCGCAGTGAAATGCATTTATTCGTTAACAAGAATCATCTGGGAAAGAATATAGCAAGCGCAGCATTCGCCTATAAAGTAAGCCCTAATAAGCCCCAAAATAGGGCCCCAAGATGAAAGTGTAAAGTGCGTTTTTCAAAGCAAAATTTTGTTTAAAAACTAATTCATGGATGATTGGACTTAAAATTTCTGAAAAAATTAAAAGTTTTGCAGGATATACATAGAACGTTCTCATAATATGTAACGATATATAAGTGGAATTTTTAAAAGATATTTGATTTTATTGTTTTTACATTCTGTAAATTGGTATATTCCGAAATACTCTTAGAATAATTTTTGGGGATTTTAGAAATCTTTTACAAATATTTCAGGAATATTTAGCGTTAGATGGGATCTTATTCTATAATTTTATTTGTTAAAATGTATGTATGCCACATACTTATGTGGAATCGAATAATAAATTATCGTGAAAATAGAAAAAAACAAAAATAGATAAAACCAACAATTAATATGAATATGAAGGAAGTAATCGTTATATATATATATATATATGGGACTGAGAGACTTGAAACAATGTTATCGTGGAGAGGGATAAAGTGTGGCGCTCCGAAGGAGGATGGAGGGGGACTTTCCTGCTTCCGGCTGTCAACCATAAAGCTTGATCGAGTTGGTCGGAGTTTGGAACTGGTTCGAGCTCAGTAGAGTAACACACGGTGACGCTGCCTAACTTTCCTTGTCTCTCGTGTTCGTTGTCAGTAGTGTTATCAGCTGTATTCCTGGATATTTGTCTAACTCGTCGCGGAAGCACGTCAAAGATTAACACGCGTAAACACGCCTCGATTGCGAATCCCCGTGAGTATTTCGCGTTTCTCGTTGGCCGATTTACATACGTCGCTGCTGCTGACAGCGTCATTGCGGCAAGCGGCGATCTATGATCCCCATATATGTCACATGAAGGTAGAGTGGTTCTCCCCAAATTATTAGTCACGCACGGCTTTGCTCAGGCGGCTCCGACCGAATGAATTGCGTCGGCGCGTTTACTTGTTGTCACCGACGCCGTGCATTGATGCCCGGCCTCGAGAGAGAGAGAGAGAGAGAGAGAGAGAGAGAGAGAGAGAGAGAGAGACTCCGGCGTCGATTTCTCCCTACCATTATTCCTGCCAGGAGCAACGCCCAGCGAAATTATTCGCATGTGTTCAAGTGTCTCTGCGCGAAACCTCGGTTGAAAAACTGAATTTTCTCGCAAGATTTGTCAATAAAAAATTCTGCGGACGCTGTTCTTTGTCCTGTCTCCCAAAATTGTGCCTGTATACCTCTTTAAAAAATTATAATACTGTCTACATATGCTTGGAAAATATCTCTTCTTACACATCAATCAGTCATTGTTTTCAAGAGTGTTCAAGAAGCAAATGATATCTGATTACGTACAACGTTTCGAAATTGATTGATAATGAGAAATTGATTCTAATGACGTAACTTGGTGCTTTTATTTCTTCCAGGTTATATGATTTAAGTGAATTGCCTGGACATTTAAACAGAGCAGTTAGCAGTATATTAAAATGGCTTGGCGTTTCAAAGCGTCCAAATACAAAAATGCAGCTCCAATCGTTCCCAAGCCAGAGGCTTGTATTCGAGATATCTCTGTGGGATCGTATCAGACCTATGGCAATAATATTACAGCATCTGCAGCGTTTATGGCATTCAATGTCGATCATAATGGTATTACATTTATATTTACCTTCAATAGATTTATTTCTTTGAGAATATTCATAAATTATTCATTAATTAAATAAAATCATTATTCCTTTCTTATTGAAGGATCCAGCTTAGCAGTATTGCCGTTAGAAGATTGTGGCAGAAAAAGCAAAACTATGCCACTGTTGCATGCACATGCAGATACTGTGACAGATATGGATTTTTCTCCATTTCACGATGGCTTGCTTGCAACTGGGTCTCAGGATTGTCTCGTAAGCATCTTAGAACTTTATTTTCAGCAAATTTAAAATGAAATGCAAAACTATTTAAGAATTTACTTTTTCTAAATGTCATATTAATTCTATTTAGAAGCTATGGATTATCTCTGTGTTCGTATTCATTTTTGAAATGTCAATGTATTTCGTGTATTCGAATATTGGTATTTGGATATGAATACAGAGATAACTCGCAAAATACAATATTTTATATATAGAAAGTACCGATGGAAATCTCAAAAGTAATTTGTTAATTCCATTTGTATAAAACTAGGTAAAGTTATGGCATATCCCAGAAAGTGGCTTAGAAGAATCCTTATGCAATCCAGAATGCACATTCTCGCATCGTCAACGAAGAGTGGAAGCAGTGTGCTGGCATCCTTCTGCTGAACATCTTCTAACCACTGCATCATTCACTAATCTCTCACTCTGGGATGTTCTGTCACAACAGGAATTATTTTGTAAATTATATTTCATAACTTCACTGACACTTATTGCTTTACTCTCATTTATGAATGTTGTTACAGCTAATAGTGACCACACCGAAGTAATCCAGTCTGTAAGTTGGAAAGAGGATGGTACTGTTTTAGCGACATCTTGCAAGGACAAACAACTGAGGCTTATAGATCCGCGCGCATCGACGTGTATCGTTAATTCATGCTTGAGCCACCAAAGTATTAAAGATTCCAGAACAGTCTGGCTAAACAATGACAGGATACTCACTACAGGATTTGATGCAGCAAGACTTCGTCAAGTTTACATTAGAGACTTGAGGCACTTGAATGAGCCAATGAAAATTTTGGAATTAGATTGTAGTACCGGGTAAATCTTTCCACTTGAGATTTATTTAATCAGTCTAATTGCTAAGTATCATAAGTACCACCGATAATGTCGTAATATATATATTATAATGTCTTAAGATAACGTATTAAGATAGGTAATTGTTTGTATATAATTGTTTAATATATTTTGTTAGTATTTTGATGCCGCTTTTCGATTCCGACACAAATATGCTCTTCCTCGCTGGCAAAGGAGATACCACTATTATATACATGGAAATCACAGAGAGAGATCCTTATCTAGTAGAAGGGATCCGTCACAGTGGTGAGCAAACTAAGGGAGTATGTCTGGTTCCTAAACGAGCATTAAATGTAATGCAAGCTGAAGTTAACAGGTTGTTACAGCTTACTTCCAATATGGTAATTCCTATCATGTATCAGGTTCCACGAAAAGTAAGTTGTACATATAATATTGTGTGTGTTTGTGCGTGCGTGCGTGCGTGCGTGCGTGCGTGCGTGTATGTGTGTGTGTGTGTGTATTGCCACATACAATATATATATATGTCTAAACTTTTAAATTTTAATTTAATTAAATTTTAGACATACAGAGACTTTCATGCAGATATTTATCCGGATACAACTGGCCCCGTTGCTCAAAATAACGCAATATCATGGCTTAAGGGTCATAATGCACCTGTACCAAAGATATCGCTAGATCCTGCCAAAAGAAACAAAAGCCAAGAATCGATTACTGTGAGTAACATTTTAACAAATGCTGTGCAAGTTCTCATATCATTCTTAATATGACGTACATTTGAAGTAGCTTTCGTTCGTTGAAATTTTGTTTGCTTATTTGTTAATATCAGTTATACTATTGCTTTAAATACAAATCATCGATAATTGCATGTTTTTCATTGTCATTGTTTTCTCGCATTATCATCCCATATTCTCTAAAACAACTGATTTTTTTAGAATAAATATTGAATTGTTATAATTAATTTATTTATATATTTGCTTTGTGCAATATCTATTTTAATGTAGATATGTATATTTTTAAGTAGACTTTACGTTATGTTTTCTAACTTATTCTAAAATATGATAAAAGTAATCAATATGATGCTATTTATTTTATATAAAATGATTATTTTGTTCGTACAAAATAATAAGTGTTGCAATGTAACTTTATTAAAAAATTGCTGAATATATATGAGCTGTTTTTTATGTAATTTATTACATATAAATATTTGCAATATACTTTTTATGATTATACAAAATTTTAAATTTTTCTGTAGTTTTTAGGAGTGATATTATGTATTATAAATATAAGAAATCAATAGAATGTATAATGTAAGAAATATTTTTTTTATTATATAACATTTTTCGCGATATTTAATCTTTTGTCAGAATTTCTATTTATTAAATTATTTGATTATTATTAATTATGTGTATATTTATTTTGCGCTATTCAGTTTCTTTCTCCATATTCTGTGTATATTTTTTTTTCACGTTTCAGATATCCAATATATGTTTTATAGTTTATACATTAGCACCATTCAAACTATTATTCCTGGCACGTGTATAATATAAGTGGCAATTGATGTTGTAGCTTATTCTACAGTGTAAGTAATAGTATGAAATGTCAAAACATTCGTATTGTCATTCGTATCTATATGGCCATGAGATAATCTCTTTTTGTAAATTTACTTCCAACAAAATTTAATCACAAAATACTTTAAGCTAAAGCTAAAACTTATATTTTTATCTTTTTTTTGTGTACTATTGTCTATTCTGTATAAAAATGCGAGCTACGTGCGTACATGTAATATGTAAAAATAATGTGAATGTAGCTGAATTGTTGCTATTGTTAAATTATTGTGTTGATTATGCAGAAATGTATATCAAAAGTGCAAAATATTGGACAGTGTAGTTTGGTTTGCATGCAGTTTGTGTCATTAAGGATTTTACCGTACCTTTAGGTAC